CCTGTCAATCAAATCCCCTGGCAAATTGTCTGGAAAAACATCTGGGAATTCTCTGACTATGGGAATACGGTTCACATTAGCATTATCATCAGTAGATACAGTCAGTACAGAACACAGATATCCCTTACATCCCTTCCTAATCAATTTAACAGCTTTCACGGATGAAATCAGATATGGGGGAGGTACTACTCCAACCCCATTAAATACAAATTCAGCCAAACTAGGTAGACGGAAAACTACTTGTTTCGTTACACAGTCTATGGTGGCATGATATTTCGTTAACCAGTCCATCCCCAATATTACATCAAAATGATCAATGTTCAATGGCAGTAAATCAATAAACAGATGTGCATCTCCAACAATAATTTCACAAGCAGGGTACATATATGCACAAGTCATGGATCCCCCAACGGGTGTTGATACAGCTAACAGATAATTCATGGGTTCTAATGGTCTATTCAGTTTTCGCGAAAAAAGCATGCGACACATATGAATGCCTAGACCCCGAATCAATTAGTACATAAGCATTTTGGGTACAAATAGAGAGAATACCTGACACAACGGTCTCGGTATTCTACACGTCTCCCGGTACCAGGGGGAACACTCGGCCCTGCCTTATGGGCTCTTTCCCGGTAGCTTTGGGGTTCGGTTTTGGTGCAACAGTTGATGCTGCCACGATTGGTGCAGCTTTACTATTGGCTTGTGGAGCAGAGGGGCAGTCTTTCACTATGTGGCCCACCTTGCCACACCTGTAACAGGCTCCAGATTTTTTGTAACAGACCCCTTTGTGCTTCTTGCCACACTCAGAACAGGGTGGTATAAAACCATTCCCTTGACTGGGGCTAGTTGTTGACCCCGTATTCTGTTTCTTGTTCAATAGGTTATGCTTACCTTTCTTGAATTTAAGACCCTGCCTTTTACCACGCCATTCAGACACTGGTGTCTCAGTTCTCAGTGCCTCGATGTTCGATTCAACCATCAAGGCTCAGTCAAGAACATTTACATAATTCGGTAATTTCATAACATTTATTCTGTCCAGTATTGCAACATTAAGGCCGCCTTCAAACTTCTTGGCCTTCTTATAATCAGTGTCCACCATGTGTGGTGCATAATGGGCAAGTTCAGTAAATTTTGTCTCATGTTCAGCAACGGACATTGTGCCCTGTCTCAGCTGTTCAAATTCAGTTACCTTTCTGTCCCTAACACACTGAGGGAAATACTTTTCGAAGAAGGCTCCTTTGAATTGAGCCCAAGTCATTACAGTGTTATCATCACAGATAAGCATACACCACCTTCTAGCCTCTTCTTGCAAGGTAAAGGTGGCCAACAGTACTTTACATGCTTCAGAGCACGGAAAAACCTCAAACAATTTTTCAGTCTCAAGAACCCATGCTTCAGCTTTTAACGGTTCGAGGCCTCCCTGAAAGGATAGCGGTTTCATTTTACTGAACTTTTGGGTAAGAGCAATTATGTCCCCATCATTAACACTCACATTCTGTTCCGGCTGTACCGGAGGAGAAGGTGGGGGCTGTTGATTCTGTTGTTGCTCTAGTCTTTCAGTTATTAATTCCATCATTCTTTCCAGTCTTGCCATTCTTGCCTCAGAGGATGAGGATTCAGATTCATTTGCAGTTCTTGCATTATCCATTTCACTATAGGCAGTTATAGAAATTATAAACATAAGCAGTTGCATACTTAAACAGTTTATCACATTAGCATATATTCAGTCATGTCATAGCCACACACACTTTAACAAGTTCGTGCAATGCCCTAATCGCTTTTCTAGGACATCCTATAGCTCATTTGGACACGTGTGTGCGGTATAACTCGTGGTAAGTATCGCTCTGATCCTACTCTTCACACGCCAAAGGCCTTGGGTTTAACCGTAACCGGCCAGTATCGAGATTACGAAGGCCTGCTTAACGTCGTACAGTAAACAGAGTACAGGCCTGGCGGAAGCAATCCAGTAATTAAACAATGCCCAATGAGTTGTGACAGACTGTATGCAAAAGACTTCCATACATATATACATAATCAAGTACAGAGCAAGTAGTACAATATTAACAATCATTCAGACTAGGGACTCCATCCCTTACATAATAGTACAGTAAACTTCAGTCACACAATCATTCGGTATTACAAAACAGTAAGACAGTACAGAAGGGGGAATCCTAAAACACCCTAAGCCTTAGCAATGATAGGCTCGGAACCTCGAGTGAGGCACATAGGCTGGCTTGAAACTGGAGTAACCCTGACGCTCCTAGGGGTCTGGTGCTGAACACCTACATATATATATGAGCAGTGAGCTAAAGCCAGTGAATAACATAATGCTTAAAGAGGTTAAGAATGAATGTCCTTACAGTATGAAAAACAGTTCATTTAAACAATATTTCAGTTGTCAGTCAGTACAGTCATATGTGGTACACCATTAGCATAACAGTACAGTAACAGTAGGTCTTAAAAGACGAACAGTAATGATGGCCATCAATCAGTAAACAGTAGTGGTTCCAACAAGGGAACCGAGAGATTTCTAGTCACAGTACAGTAAGCAGTAGTGCTAAGGATGCCACAATACAGTTCAGAATATAGGACATACATTCACTTCAATTACAGTATATAGTTCAGAAAACAGTACAGTTTCAGTTGTTCAGAAGATAATCGTTTGTGAACATTCTTTACACAATCGTTACTCACAGAGTTTGGGCTACAGTATGCTAAGAGCGTGTCCCCAGTGCGCCAACTCTACACAGTTAACAGATTGAACACACTAGTAGTGCTGGAAAGATATAACTAATCTAATTTGCCTGGGTGTGTTCTACATCTATGTCCTCAATAAGATGTCTTAAACTAGGCCTAAGAATGCCTAGAATGGATGAGGATGAAAGATGTCTCAAAAAGAATTTCAAGAATTTTTCAAAAAACAGGGTCACGCTTGAGCGTAGTCACTCCGCTCGAGCGGACATGCAGACAAAGGTACCCGACGAGGTAGAATTACCGCTCGAGCGTTCTGCAAAAAACAGTCAAAGTGCTGATGGGTGAATTCCGCTCGCGGACGCTCGACGCCGTGCGAGCTTGAGACACATGTTCCGCTCGATGCGCCAATCCTCCGCTGAGGCGACTGTAAAAAGTGCAGAGATACTGGATCTCGGATTCCACGCTCGAGCGGAACTCCCGCTCGAGCGGAAGTGCAAAATCTGGAAATTCCAGATTGCACTCCAAGCCAAAACCAAGTTCAAAAGCATAATTTTCGATTCCTCTTGGGCTGAATTTCCAGAAAACATTTGTAAACACATAGAATAACATGGTTCAAAGCTCAATTTTGAGAAATCAAAGCCCAAGGGTGTTTAATTCAAACCAATTTCAAACCATTTTTCATGAACATGGAGAACATGCAAACATGCATGAATTCAAATCAATTCAAAGCTTCAATTTGATGCTCTAAGGAGCCAATTGTTTCCAAAACATGATGAAATCATGGACTACACTCAAGACATGAACATGCATGTGACAATTTGCCATGAAAACGACTCAAACTTCTACATTACAAACATGCATGCATGAATTATGCTCTATATCAACATGTATGAGCTAAAACATGACTTAGTTCTACAATGAAACATGAATCATGCAAGAACTAGCTCAATGGCAACAATAAGAAGATGAGTTTCCTACCTTAGTCTTGTATTCAAGATTTAGGAGCTCAAATTAACAATCTACACTTCAATTACCAAGCAATTCTTCAAGTTGAATTCCAATTTCTCTCCATCTCTCCCTCTCTTCTCTCTTGGTCGGCTATGGCAAGGAGAAAGGCTGATGAAATGTTTTGATTGAAGTGTATACAAGGCTCAACATGTGTGAAGTAGTGGCCACTAAGTGGTCTAATGGTAATTAAGTCCAAAACTTGCAATCCATCAATATTTAATCTAATTTAATCATACCTAATCAGTTTTCAGATAAATACACCATAAAATCACATTAATTATGAGGATCATAAAACATCAATCAATTCCGGGTTCGGCCGCTGATAAGGCCTTCAATTAGCAATTTAAACATAAAATGTGAACAGATCAAATAAACAATCAAACAGATAGAATACAAATTAATGTACATACTCAGTCAATTCAGTTCCAGTTCTCAGTCAGTCAGTTCAGTACTTTAATCAGTTCAATTATCAGTCATAATCAGTTAAGTTTGACGGTAATCAATGTTTATCGGTAAGCAGTGATGAGGGTTATTACAGATAGGGTCATTTGTAAAAAACATGTCACTCATTATAAAGTGATAGATCAAAATATAAACAAAATCATTATTATAATGAATTAGACACAAATGATTCAGAAGTACGAGCTCCTAATATTGTACCACCAACTTTAAATAGAGCATATCCACCTGGTAATAAACATTTAGCCAACTATGTACTCTATACAAATTTCTTACAGACACTAGAAATTCATAATTACAATCTAAATCTAAATAATTTTAGGTAGTACATTTACCACATGTTCTAGAAGGAGAAAAATTTCAGACCGCTCAAACTTTGGTGGAAGAATAGTAACATGCTCTAGATGTCAAGCAATGATGTGGATAGAGGAAAAAGTAAGAGATAGTCCATTGAGTCGACCAAAATTTAGTCTCTATTGTCAAAGTTGACAAATGATGTTGCCTTTATTGCCAGAAGCTCCTGAATTTTTGCAACAACAGTTTACTTATGTGAGATTTAGGGAACACATAAGGACATATAACTCTCTATTATCTTTCACGTCCATGGGTGGGAAAATTGATCAATCAATGTTAGATGGAAAGGGTCCTTATGTCTTTCGTATTAGTAGAGCAAATTTCCTAAAATTGGTTCTCTACTATCGGAACCTGGAAAAAGGTCTAAATTTGCACAACTTTATATTTATGACACTGAGCATGAAATTCGCAATAGAATGGACATTTTGAATAGGTGTGGTAACACATCTAGAATTGATATGTCCACATTAGAAAGTTTATAGTAAATGTTGAATGTCATCAATCCATATGTATCAATTTTTTGCACTGCTCGAGACATGATTCGTGAGAATAGTGCTCAAGAATTGTATATTCGCATTTTGAGTTCGAGGGATGGAAGACAGTACACTAGACCCATTACAATTGAAATTGCCGCATTAATTGTTGGTGATGGGTCTTTCTCCAAGTTCATGGTTGAGAGTTGAGAAAATAGTAAGTGTGTCTTGCTTATTAAAAGAAAAGTCACCATCTCTATGTGGAATGTGCATACATGGAGATTTGTCTTTAGTATTTATTATTTTATTTATTTTTCTTGTTTAATTTTAGTTTAATTAAGAGTCTTCTTTTAGTTAGGAGTTTTATTAATATTTGCTTCATTTTCTATTAGGATTTAGTTTCCTAAGTTAATTAAGTTTTATTAGGAGTCTAGATTATGATTTAGTTAACTATTTGGTTAGGTTTTCAAGCCTATATTTGCATTGTAATAGTTAGTTTTGAATAATAAAGTTGTGGCAATTGTGTTAGGGCTATGGCCCTCTACTTCCTCCCTCTTTTTCTTCTCTTTCTCTAATGTGTTCTACATCAATAATTCTGTTTGCATGGAATTTTGTTTCTGACACAAGTTTTGTTGGTAACTTGATCAATCGAATATTATTAGTAATGTTGTTCTTTTGTCATATCATGTGCAGTAATGATTATTTATTATTTATTTTTGTTTTCTTGTCTTCCTCAATTTTTCTTCTTCTTGTGAATGTGATGTTTATTAACAATTAAAATTGAGTCTCAAATTTATTTATTTTCACTTCATCAAGCGGTTCTAACGGATATATTTTTCTTACATTGTCGGTTTCGTAATGGGATGCTTTGCTTTCATGTTGAAGGTCTGCACAAGATCCAAGGAATACATGCTGGTGTCATCCCCAATATTTTGGATGTCAACATTCTTGATGAAGTTGTTATAGTAAGCCTCGACATTTTAACATTGGGCATTTAGTTTAATTGATATGTGAAATTTCTTGCTGGTGCTCACCCTGACTCCGAGTTCAATCCATTAAGTGGATATGTAGGAATTGGTGTTGGTATTTTTCCATAATAATACAAGAAAAATATATAAAATAAATTAAATAGAAATGACAAAATAATTTTTTATTAAAAGGATGAAGTATAGAATAAACGACAAAACTAAAAATACAAAAATGAATCAGATTGCATTACTAATAGAACAAATTATTAACATGGATAACTAAAGATTAGAACTCATCTTTGTAAACTAAATATTGAAAAAATCAACAAAAAATGATAAGAAAAAAAGCAAACCGAAACCTGTGTGATACCATAGTTTCCTTAAAATAGATTCACCGCCTCTCGATGGATGCTAGAGGTACGCCGGTATCCGTCTCTCAGGATACGACGGTTGAAACCAGCTAATACAGAAGTACCTTCCGAATAGCTTCAGCGAACTTGACAATAGATGCATTCTCTCTAACAAGAATCAAAGAAGAGGCTAACAAAAGAAGATGGAAATTTTTTTCTTTGGTGTAAAAAACCATCTCCAACTTTTTACCTCAACACCATCTCATTTTCCATTACAAAACCTCTCTAAAACAACCTACTAAGTTGGAAGAGAAATGCCTCTATTTATACTAGTAGGGGAAAGCCTTAGTTATGAAGGCTAACATCAATGGGGTCATCAAATGTCATCAACTCTAGCCATTAGGGCTAGAGTTGCAAAGGTTTAAAATTCCAAAACCATTATATAAATCATAATGTTTATATAATGTATAAGTATTGAGAATTAAACTAGATGTGTTGTAAAATGTATACGGGTGTTAGGCCACAACTCGATCCAAGCCCAATTTCAAACACATACACAAACTAAGTCTAGTACAGCTCAGCCCAAAGCTTAAGACTAGGTCCAAGTCCAAGTCTAAATCTAAGACCAAACCCAGCACATACACAAGTACAAGTCTAGGCCTAGCCTAGTCCAAACCAAGACTAAGTCCAAATCTAAACCCAATTTTATTTATGCCCACTTTATGAGACAATTCTCATTCATAACTCAATGGTTTCGGCTCATTATTTTTGTATTGCAATCTTCTTACCTAGGAGAATACAAACCACTCAAACCAACCTCTCACACTTTAATTTTGAATTAAAGATGCCGAAAATCCATTATTTTCCAACAATCCCCCACATGAATAAAATTGGCCGAATAAAGAAAAACAGACAACGCTTAACAATAAAGACTTTAAGAGAGAGCACACAGAATAACCCTACATTAGAAAAGGTAGCTGTTGGCCTTGATCCTTTTGTAGTGAACACCTATCGTATTTACTGGCTGACCAGTGAACGTGATGTCTTGAACTGTTTTGTTGTTTGTGTAAACCGAGACAATAGACCTCACACAAGAGTTACTCTAATCATTATTCTTGTTTTCACTGGTGTGTCCAGTTTGGCCATGAAACACTAGCTTGGTTCAGTGAGTGTTTTTAGAGAATTCGGCCTTGTCAATTCTTAAAGAAGCGATCTCACTTCGCACTCACATAGGTGACCTACATAAGGTATCTCTCTATACCACGATTGACTATTCACAACACTTAGGTCATTAAAAACATCAGCTTAACCTCCTACCCCACAAGGTATCACTGTATAAAGGAATGGGTAGGAGGATTTACCTCCACAATGATTCAGCCGTTACACGTAATTAGGTTGTCCCTTTGAACCTAGATTTTGGGATCTCCAGTCAACTAGGTTGGGTTTTCTATTCCGGTAACATTCGTTAAAGGCCTTAACCCTAATCCTTTTGACGAATTTCCTACTAACTCTCGATTTAACCCTTTGGTTAATGGATCCGTAATATTGTCCTTAGACTGTATATAGTCTATAGTGACAACACACGAGAGTAGTCGTCGTATAGAATTATGTCTTCGACAAAAACGTCTAGACCTTCCATCTGTTCCCTACTAATACTTGATTGGTTATCGCACAATATATAAAATTGCTAGCACAAGTTTTGATCAACATGAAATATCCTCAAGAAAATGACAAAGCCATTCAGCTACTTTAGTAGCTTTATCTAAAGCACTGAATTCCGATTCTATCATTGATCTCGTGATACACATTTGCTTGGAAGATCTCCAAGACACAGTTGCAACTCTAATTAGAGAAAACATATCCACTAATGGATTCATAGTCTTTGTATCAGATATCCAGTAGGTGCTTTTGTACCTTTCTAGTACAACTAGATATCAAGTGTTATGTAACCCATAATCCTGGGTGTAGTGTAAATAATTCAACACCTGCATAATGCCCTTCCAATAAGTAGCATTAGTATTACTTGTGTATCTACTAAACCTGCTATTTGAGTAGGTTATACCTGGCCTTGTACAACTCATTAGATACTTTAAACTTCAATGACCTGAGAATATAATAGTTGAAATACACTTTCACTATTATTCATGGCCAATTGTAGACATAAGTCTACCAGTGTCCTCGACACACTTGTATCTGATCTACTAAATTTCTCAAGTATTTTATCAACATAATGAGACTGAGAAAGTATAATACAACCAGGTGTTCTAATAATGTTGATACCCAGAATCACATCTGCAAGGCCTATATCTTTCATAGCAAACTTAGAATACAACATCCACTTGGTGAATATCTTCTCAAGTATTCAAACCTTAAAGATTTATTCAACTAAATCTTCATATAGGAAAGCTATCTAAACATCCATCTTGATGTATTTCCAGATGCCGCACAATTGTGATCACACTCACTATAATTGGTGATCACGTATCAAAGTAATACAAGCCTTCTCTTTGCTGGTATCTTTTGATAACAAGCCTATCTCATTAGCTTTCATTCACTTGCATCCCAAGGCTTATTACCTATGCAAGAAAAAGTTAAATTTTCTAGAGAAATCACAGCTTCAAAGAAGCTTTTAGCCTTACTAGCCACCATATAGGTTTAAGAAAATTTAGATAGAAGAACTTTAAATTCTTAGCATATTAACATCTTCTAGGCTCATTTCTTTTCTTATAAAAATTGCTTCCTCAATTTCATAATGGCATTCTTGTGTAAATTTGAATATTAGATTTATCCACAAGAAAACCGATACGTGTGCATAATCGTTGAACACAAAGTCAGCGGATTTTGAAGGCTATTACCCGCTTAAGTTTAGGTAGTGTCACCTTTTACATAACATCCCCACATTTGTAGAATTTATAGGAAGGCTTTCGACCTTTCCAAAAATTCATGTAGAGTCTTTAAACAATTCCTTGTGTCACAATGATTATGAGACTTTCATAATCATATCACAGAAAATACATCCTTAGACCGTTATCAACCGAATTAGGTCTCTTCCGAATTCAAGGCACCAAACAATTTTTGGTCCTACATGTCACTCTGAAGTCAATAGCCTTACTATTTGGAATCATAAACCTAGTGATCAATAGCCTACTATTCAGAACTTCATAACATGGCCAGTAGTCTTTTCACTAGGAATCACTAATTTATCATCATGTGATCAGTAGACTTTTCACTACTAAGAACCACAATGTTTTAAATGTGATCAGTAGTCACTTTCATTACTAGGAATCATCATGTCTTGACATATGATCAGTAGTCTTTCCTTAGACCGTTATCAACCGAATTAGGTCTCTTCCGAATTCAAGGCACCAAACAATTTTTGGTCCTACATGTCACTCTGAAGTCAATAGTCTTACTATTTGGAATCATAAACCTAGTGATCAATAGCCTACTATTCAGAACTTCATAACATGGCCAGTAGTCTTTTCACTAGGAATCACTAATTTATCATCATGTGATCAGTATACTTTTCACTACTAAGAACCACAATGTTTTAAATGTGATCAGTAGTCACTTTCATTACTAGGAATCATCATGTCTTGACATATGATCAGTAGTCTTTCCATTACTAGGAACCATCATGTCTTGACATGTGATCAGTAATCTGTTCACTACGAGGAACCACAATCTCATAATTGTGTAGCCAGTGGTCTAACACCTCCTAGGAACCACCAATTTTCTACCTCTGTGATCAGTGATCTAGTACTTACTAGGAGCCACCAATATAAGAATATATTTGGAATTTAAAAAATTCGAAAATATATTCACCCACCCTAACGGGTTGTCTCATCTTTTCTTTCAAACAAAGTCACATAGAAATCATACATGCTATAATTGACACAAGGATAACATACTAATTGCCTCTGATTAATTCAGAGATATTAACATGCAATCTTATGATTTTCTTTAATCACACTTGATCTCTCTAGATCTTCCTTTAAGAACTTCACAAGGCTTAAGGTTGTCAGGTGGAACAACGTTTTATGTTGTCACCTCTTGAAACCATTTTTGAAAAATCACTACAGAATTTCATTATTCTGTTTTTCCAGAAACTAAACTTAACACTAGAAAATTCCAAAGTCTGAAATTTAATTCAAAACTGATCTCATCACTTACTCTAGAATCGAACATGGTTAGAAAAGTTTCTAGGAAGATTGGAGTGGTCACATCGGTCCCGAACATGGTTAGAAAAGTTTCTAGGAAGATTGGAGTGGTCACATCGGTCCCACTTAAGACCTAGTTAACCATAGACAAAACTTTCAAGAGTATGTTGACTCCTAATTTATGAGAAACAAATTTAGATTTAAGTTTTTTAGGGAATAAACTAAGTTAAAACAAACAAAGTTTACAAAACTTATAAGGTATTAAAAATTGTTATCAGAATTACACCACTCATAAAAGTTAACAGGTACTTCCGGAACTAAGCCTATTATTTCTGAACAAACTCAGAAATATTTTAGCTAATGTTAAAATTTGGTTTCTTTCCACAAAACAAACACTAAGAAAATAATCAAATTATAACCAAAGAGTTTCTCTAACCACAAAGGTTTGAGATCAAATCCATCTTAGTTGGCATTTCTGAACAAATCA